GGGTCCGTTTATTATGAAGTGCACTGATGCTGAGTTTTGTATAAAATGTAAATTACTTTGTATATATTCAGCAATATATTTCTACAGAAATATATGCTTGAATGTAAATTGTGCTGCAAAGTTTAAAATTGCGGCTTCTTTGCAAATTAAGTTTTGAGGCACAGAATTTTTGAAAAGTTTCCCTTTGAGTAATTGAGGAGGATTCTTTGTGGTACACTGGCCAGTGATAATGTACCACATCAGCATTTTGTTTTGTCTGTCCCATGGTAATTGTGATTCATTGAGTGTGCGCAATTTTTGTGTATCATTGCACTAATCAATTGATAAGCATTTAAAAATGGTACCATAACTTCGGGAGTATGAGGTGAAATGGAGCAATGGGCTTGTTTTGTGGTCCATTAGCTGTGCGTACTTTGTATTGTGCATGACCTGGATTGAGATGTTGTCTATGTCCTATGATATATGAAGCACTCTTGGAGTCATGAGCTGTCATTCTGAATCTTGTTCTTGATGCTTAGTGCTAGTCCCTTTGTCCCTTTGTTAGCAAAGTTACTTCAAATAGTGGTGCCGGCATTAGAGGAGGAAGAAGAAGAAAAGGATAGAAAGAAAAAACTGTGTGTTTTGGGATATTTTGATGTGTGTATTTTAAAAAGTTGGGGTGTTTTTAGAGGGTTCCTGTAGACAAAGCTGTAAAAAAGCTTGTCTATTGAAAACACCCTAAAAACAGGGGTTCCAACAGAGCTGTTATTTTCTTTAATATTGTTTTGTCCTTTTAATTTAAATTGCAATTGGATTAGTTCTTTTTAACACATCTTCAAAATGGAATGGTTACGTTTTCTTTTCATTTTTTCCCCTACACGTTTGTAGTGTGTTCTTGAGATTAATACTGTTTCCTGGTACTTGGATGCCTAGATGAAATCTCTCCTTGCTGACCGTTCTCTCTCTACTTTGTTGATGAGGCTTAAAACCTTGAGCTTTTGCCTTGATTTTGTTTCTGTTAGTCTTGTAGGTTATGGTCAGTATACCTAGTTTATTGACAGTTATACAGTTGACTCTATGGTGATTTTGATGATGATTGGTTATATTATTGCACTGTTGGTGGTAAATCTTGTTTGGTGAGATTGTGGAACATAATAAGTATCCCTGTCTATGGGCAAAAGCTGTTCTGACTTTCACAGGCATAACTCTTTGATTTCCCCGTGTCATGTATAGGAGCCAAAGAGTTATGACTTAATTCTTCAATGGTAGACAGCATTTGTTGCTGGCGTTCTCAGAAAGGGAGTTTATCCCATACCTGTTCAATGTCTTGATTTGGTGGTTGATTTAGATTAACCTTGCATATCCTTGGATGGAGAAGTGAACCCAACTGTCTGTAGTGTTGGTTGTCATCCAGGAAGAACAAACCATTTTATAAAGGTTCGCCTGTAAATCACTTTATGAGGTTTGGCATCTTTGGAATTATACTTTTGTGCCTTTCAAAAACAGAGTTACATCCGCTGTCTGCCTATGTTTTATAATTTAGATGAAGTAATTCTTTTCTGATATGACTACTTCTGCTAGCTTTAAAAAAATTAAAAATGAAGAAGAAGAAAAGGACCTCTGCTTCCCCACTGATTTGCTCCAAAATATTTCTCATATGGGTTATTTAGATTCCAAGAAGACTTCATGCTAATCTATGATACTAAACTTGAAGGTGAGTTACTTTATTTTCAAAAAACGAACGGGTGGTTTCTGTAATTATGAATAAGGTAGTCTAATTGACCTCTGTATAGGTTGTCCTTTGAGGAATCAACAATCATGATCATGTACAAGTAATTGCAATTGATTTCTCTAGTTGTCAAAGTATATCTACAATGTCCTTTTTCTTTTTTATTTTTTTCCCTGCATGGTCTATTTGCAATTTCAAGCTGCCATGTAAAGTTCTTGTCATGTTATAGTTAGCTTTACAGATTATATTCTTTTGGTAGTACCGTTCTTTTCTTTGTTTTCTTTGTCTAAATTCTTTATACAACTTTTTGCATTTTCCCCATTTGTAGTAACTTTATTTTCTTTTATCCGGCATAATACGAGATTGCACATGTGGCCTTATGTTGTTTTGGAGTATGTCAGGTTTTAACGGAAGAATCACAATATAATTATCAATTTCCTATGCCCATTAATATATTTCTTGGGGCCTTGCTTGCCACCAAGCCCTGAACCATGTAAAAGTTTGCTTACCATGAATGTTGTCCTATGCAAATTTGTAAATGGAACCAGTTTAATGTCTTGCCTTTGTTTTGTCTTTGCAACTTTTATACAGGTCAGGCAAGCTTAAGCGCCTTCGGCTTGCATTTTGTGATAGTATAAGTGGTGAAGGTTTGACAGAAGCTGTTAAAAGATTACCTTTGTTGGAGGAGCTGCACCTTTTCTTTATCTCCATGCCCAGTGAAGCCCTTGAAATAGTTGGCTGCTCTTGCCCTTTGTTAAAGTCATTTACAATAAACAGGAGAAGCAATGAACTGCCACATCAAGAATGTGATAAGGAGGCAGCTGCTATTGCAAAAACCATGCCAGGATTACACCACCTTCATCTCTTGGGAAATAAGATGACAAATGAAGGCTTGAAAGCTATTCTTGATAACTGTGCAAAACTGGAATCACTAGATCTCCGGAAATGTTATTATGTTAACCTGGATGGTGATCTAGGAAAACGATGCTCTCAAGAAATTACACATCTGAGGCTCCCTAATGACTCCACGGCAGATTATGAGTTTGATGAAGAACTTGATGACTGTGAAGGACTTCATTACTCTGATTCATTTGATGTCTACTCCTCTGGGATTTCTGACTTTGATGTTTCTGACTATGATTATTATTTTGATGATTTTGAGGACTTCAATCTCTGGGACATGGATTCTGACTATGCAGCTTTCCTTGGGCTCTGTTGATAGATGGTAAGAATAGCTATATTTTGGACTCTTCATTTTATAACCTCGTGCACATTTTTGTCATGGCCACTATTTTAGTTTCTTGGTAGATTATTCTCTTTATGCACTTGTTTGCAAAGTGTAGAAGGAATCATCCTTTTGTACACTATCAGCCAAGCAGCATCACTTGTGGTTGTTATTTGGTGCTTTGTAGGTCCCTATTAGCTGCATCTATCATGCATGTGATGCTAGTCCATCCACTGGAGCAGCTGCAGGAAATTTCGATTGAAAGGGCTCTAGCCTTTTCTGTTCTTTGCAAATTGTTTCTGTTTGGTGCTCTGCGGCCAGGAGCATTTTGGACTCCAAAATTCCCTTACTGCGGGGTAGACCTTCAGGACACCAGCCCATGGCTTTGCATATATGTACTTTCTTCCTAATCCCTGTGCGTGCGTATTTAAGCTTGTTTTAATACTGTCTTGTGGCTGTTGTTATATTTGCACCTTATGGAGACGGCAATACCCTGTCTCTCTTTTTTACATAATGTGCCCATCCTTTGAAATTTTACTTCTAATATTTTCCATGGACGGAATTACAATTTTTTGTTTTGTCTACGGGTTGCCCAACGGGTACTTGATAAGAGGAGCTTTACGTGTTAAGATTTTTGGTAAAGTTAAATCATGGATATATCGATACACACAGGGTAATAAACGTGACCGTATGTGATCCATAGGGGTAGAGGTGGTAATTTGTCCCAAGTCCCAATGGGTTACCCATGACCATGGGGACTTTGGGCGGGATGGGTATTAGATTTTGATATTGGATTTAAAATGGGACAAATCCCAATTGTACTCATTAATTGATGGGAATACTTGGGAAATATTTGGGTACCCATTGGGCTCAAATAACAAGGGCTTTGTTTGGTTTAGCTATTTTGGAGGGGTATTTTTGAAATATTTTATTATAACAGTGTATATGAAAAATTTTTACTATAAAATTTTTTTGAAATATTTGATATACTAATATGGATGGGATGTTTTTTGAGTTATTGTATATTACTATAACATTGTATTTGAAAAACTTATTTTTTGAAAAAATAGCCAATCCAAACGGAGTTTTAGATTCAAAAATTATCTTTAACAATTTTTATAGTCATACTAGAGAATATAATCTAGTAGTTTTTCTAGTCATTATCCACAACAATTTTCAACATTTCAGTCAATTTAGACCTGTCATCTTTGAACAATGATGAGGATAAATATTCAACACCTTAAGTACCTTGGCCATCTTGATATATGTTGGAATATGACTGTATATCTATTTTTTCCTTTATTTGTTAATCCAATTTTTGATGGGAATCCTGAGTATAAAGCACTTGCATGTTTATTTAATAAAACTAAAAAAAAATTAATAAATCAAAAATATTAAAATTATATAAAAAAAATGAATTAAAGGAAAAAAAATATGTAAAAAATAGATTTGGGTATTGGGCGGGATCAATCTAAACCCATCCCAAAGTGATCCCGCCCAAGTTAGTCCCAAAACACATAAGGATAAAGTTGGGTCCAAACCCATATGACTCGGTTCCATCACAAACCCAAGCAAATCCCGTCCATTCCGTCCATTTTGTCACCTCTATATAGGGGCAATAAATTTGTGTACATTGAGGAGCAAATTAACAATACCATCGAGTATCCGTTGGATTTTTTTTTTTTAATTTATCATCGGCATACAATAGTCATGCATTGCCTCTTTAATCCTCCAACTAAGGGAACAAGCCATTTTTGGAAGCAAAATCAATAAAAATTGATACTTGTAGGTGTGGCTGTCAAAATAGATGAATTGGGTGTTAGGTATAAATGGATTAACCTTATTATATCTAGAGTGAATGGCCCAAAAGGTCACTAAACTATTAAAAATGGCACCCTCTGGTCACTAAACTTTTTTTGTGGCCGAAAAGGTCACTAAACTCGCAAAAACTCTCCAGCGAAGTCATTTTACCGAATTTCACCGGTTCCTCATCCGGTAACAGGGTCAATATGGAGTGGAGGAATATAGTAAAGGGGCAAAAATGTCAAACAAAATATGGTCAACCTTTTTTTCTCTCCCCCTCCTTTCTGCTGGAAATGCCGCACATCAGATAAGGTGACAGTTCCTTTTTCCGACTTCCTCTCTTTAGCATCAGGTAAGGAGGAAAACGGACGGCGGGCGGGCAAAAAAAATGGACTCTGCTCTCTCTTCTTCTTCTTCCTTTCATGCTCCGCCACGTCTTGGTCCCTCTGGCATGAATCTACTACAAACCCATTACTCCAGCTCTTTCTTCTTCAACCCCGTCCCCAACAGAAATCCCATCTCCACAGCCAACAGGCCCTCTTTGCTTTCAACTCAACAGCCATCAAGAAAGTTGCGTTGCCTACCACCTGCTGGCAAGTATGTCAGAGAGGATTATCTTGTGGTAATATTCGGTACTCTTTTTTTGTAGCTGATTACATAGTACTGCTCTGTTAGTGGCTGGTTTCTTGGGATTAGGCGGTGCAGAGAATTCATTGTTTAGCATGCAACAACTACAAAGTGTTTTTTCTAGTATATTTTTCATTTTTGTCTTTTTTTTCCTGCGAGAAAAAGGAAGCTTTTTTCGATGTTTTTCAGAGGCTTATTGGGGGGTTTTTTGTTTTGCTTCCTTTGTGTAGAAAAAACTGTCTGCTAAAGAAGTCCAAGATCTGGTGAAGGGGGAGAGAAATGTACCACTAATAATCGATTTCTACGCAACATGGTGCGGTCCCTGTATTTTGATGGCTCAAGAACTTGAAATGGTATGGATAGTAATTGGATTCAGCTTATATGTTAGCACAATGCCACTTCTTTTTTTTTCTTTTTTTTAAATTTCTCCTTGACTTTCTTGATTCGTATCCTGATGAATCGGTTTATTGCGTCTTGCCATGAGTCATTGGACAGGATGAAATGGAAGGAGATTTTTCCTTGAATAGATGAGAGAAGATTTGTCTTTCAACAAATGAAAAGAGGACTCAGCTAATTTCTAGATCTAAGGCACGACTTGCGAGAGAAAAAAAGGTTGACCATATTTTGTTTGATATTTTTGCCCCTTTACTATATTCCTCCACTCCATATTGACCCTGTTACCGGATGAGGAACCGGTGAAATTCGGTAAAATGACTTCGCTGGAGAGTTTTTGCGAGTTTAGTGACCTTTTCGGCCACAAAAAAAGTTTAGTGACCAGAGGGTGCCATTTTTAATAGTTTAGTGACCTTTTGGGCCATTCACTCTTATATCTATTAAGTAAATGGGTTCAAATGGGTTGGGTGTCATATGGGTGTAAGTCGCCCAATTATCCATTTATTAACTCTTCTAACTTTTTTAGTTAGATTATCTCATCACTTTTTACTGATACAAATAATGGCACAGAGGACCTTTAACTAATAAAAGCACAGTTATTAAATCCGGCTCAAGAAGTAACTCAACGAGGGAGGTGGATCAACGACAGTTCAACCAGTGGGTGAGTGGTACTAGTTGAACTTGTACCATTCAACATATTTAAATATTATATTTTTTATATTTTTTATATAAAACATATGATATAAATTGTAATAAACAATGTCATAGTAAATGCTCATTTAATTTAGTTCGCTGTAGAATAAGTAATTCATATAAGAATTAATAAAACATAAATTTATTAGTAATCCACCAAACTTCAAGTGTAAAATTTTATCTGTATTTAATGTAATTATCTAGTTTATTTACAAATTTTAAGTGCAAAAAATTATTAAAAACAATATTTGTCTTTAAAATGAATTATGTAATACGTTATTTTTTTAAATCCATTTTCCAAAAAAAAAATTGTTTTAGAGAAATAAAAAAAGGATAGAATTGACAAAACGTTCATATATTATAAGAAAGCTACTTTACTAACATATAACAAGTAGTCTGGTGATGAGTATACTATAGTTGTTTGCCTAAGGTCTCAAGTTTGAATTTTAACAAGAGCTTATTAACATTTTTTTCACAATCCCACTTCGTCGACAAAATCGGCCAGGTTCCCGGCTTAATCCGATTGAACTGTCAGATCATTAGCCGATCAACAGGTTCTATGCTTAAACTGTTCAATTAGAAATCCATCCCGGTCCAATGACCGGTTCACCGGATTGAATGATTCGACTGCCGAGTTGAACCAAGTTTAATAACTATGGATAAAAGTAATGGCATAGAAAGGTTCTTAAATTTTAGTGACGACAAAAAAAGTTTTTGGGTGTTGCCATATACTTGGGTCTAATTGGGTTACCCAATTAGATTCAACTTGGAAATAATAGGTTATCCAAAACCATTTATTCACGGGTCGACTTGGATGACTCAATGCATATGGCTCAAGATTAACAGCTATACTTGTAGGTATAGTAAAATTTGAGGAAGATTCTAAAGTGCTTTTTTTGGGTATCATTTGTTCAAATAAAATACATCCTTGATGGTGAAATAAGTGTCTTTTGATCCTTATATGGTAACGTTACAATTTTAAAACTTTAAAATTCAAACTACTATCATCATTAAGAGATACATGTTAAGGGAATGATACGCTAAAAGGATTATAGAGTTTTTCAAAACATGATTGTGTAATTGATGGCATATTCAATAGGATTAAATACCTGCTAAAGGTTACTTGCAGGTAATTCGATGAAGGACATGAGTAATTTGTTGGGCTAGACTATCCATATGCAGTTTTGGTAGGATTATACGGTTTGATTAGTAAGTTTGCTACATTGCTCTTAAATTCATTCGTGCAATTTTCACAAAAAAAATTAATTTATCATAAAAGATGACAAAAAAGGGAACTTAAAGAGACATAAGACATTCTGGAGGTTATATATTAGAAGATGATAGTTACTAAAAGGTCATGGAATTTGCCATGATGGTATTTTGCTTAAAAACCAAAAATTTAAAAAAAAAATTGAAAAAAATGAAAAATTATAGGAAATAATGGGAGTTAATTTAGAACATTTGTCGACGGCAAAAAATCCTATAAAACTTTGGGTCCTTATGAATTAGGTATTTTTAGGGGTATATTTAAAAAAATTTATTATAACATTGTATTTGAAAACTTTCAACTGTAGATGGTTAGTCTGGATTAGGTGTTCTTAGGATGATTTTGAGATGTTTTTAAAATTTAAAATTTTATTGGATGAATTTTTTAAATTTGTTAAAATGTTTTTACCATCTTCACCTGCCACTGCCACCACCTCGCCTCCTCCACCGCCCCTCCTTCTCCAACCTCCTCTTCCTTCCCGTTTCTACCTTTCCCTCTCTCTCCTTCCTCCTCTCCCTTTTCTCTTCTCTTCCACTTCCTCAACAACCTCCTTTGGTTGTAGTCGCAACCAAAGGGAGAGAGAGGGGAGAGGGGCCACCAGGCAACCCCCTCCCCTCTCTCTTTCTCTGGTCATGGTTGCGACCCCAATTAGATAGGAAGATAGGAGAGGAGAGGTTGCCAAGAAAGGGGAAGGTAGGGGAGGAGAGGTGGGAGGAAGAAGGGAAAGGAGGACGAAGAAAAGGGAGGGAGAGAGAAGAGAGAGGAAGGAGAGGAGGGAGGAAGAAGGAAAAGAATGAGCAAAGAGGAAAAAGAGGAGGGAAAGAGAAGAGAGAGGGAAGGAAGAAGGGGGAGGGGCAGTGGTGGCGGTAGAAAAGGAGAGGTGGTGGTGGTGGGTAGTAGGTGGGAAAAGGAACAGATAGTAGATTATTTATTTACTTATTTGTGTTTTTGAAAATATTTTTAGAATTTGTTACAGTAGATTTCAAAAATAAAAAGTAGTTAGAAGGAGCTAAATTAACACCATATACTTTTCGGATTTTTCTAATGGGTGCCCATTAGACATTTGTTAACACACTTAACCTATTATGTATATTTATATACTAGGGAAGGATAGCCCGCGCGACGCGCGGGAATTTGGTGCTTGTGATTCAAGATAATTAATAATTATTGTTTAATATTTTGTAGTATAGGAACTGAAGTATGATGATTTTATCATGTGATTTTAATAGAAAAATCATAAGTTATATAGTAAGTCAATAAAAATAATGTGCAATGAGACATCCTTATCGTTATACTATATAAGAATCCGTTGTGATCAAAGGTTATGTTTGAATTTCAACTGCAAAGATAAGGATAGTTTGAAAATGTAAGAATGTCTGAAGTGCAATTGAAAAGTATCCAAAGGTCTCTTCTAAAACTTATCCAAGATGATAAAACATTTTAAAGTATCAATTGGACCCTTCATCTCTCGAATCTATATATGTTCATGAAAGATCTCTCAAGCAATGCTTCTGATTTCTCCCTCGACTTAAGCTCAATCTGAATTATCAAGTCAAGTTTATCCATCAATCACTTTGCATCCAATCTAGTCTAAAACAATTTTATCTTTGACTAACTATTTATATAATTTGGTGGGCATAATACGACTTAATCACATGTTTCTTACAGAGATAATAATGCCCAAAAATGATAGATAGATAAGAAACTTAAATGGCCTTTTTCAAAGTTTTGTAGAAACTATTTAGATTTGGTATTTTTTGCTAGGGGCATTTCTTTATAATCTCACAAATAAGTTCAAATCTGCATAATTGTAAAAAATCTGAATTGAAACTATCTTGATTATAAAAAATTGGTGCAAATAATTGTGAGAACCTTGAAAAAAAATATATATATATATACTTGTCGCATTTGCATTTTTGACTTTTAATAAATTTTATCATTAGTTGATCTTAAATAAGTATGTAAAAATAATTTTTAGGTTACAAATAGTTTAATTGTGCAGAGTATTGAATTATTTGATTTTTGCCAGGTTAAGTTAATATTTCTTGACGTAGAGTGTTTTATTGCTCTAATATTAATTCTTTGAATTCCGATAGCTAATTTTAAGTGTTAATAACGTTAAGTGTTAACGGGAACCTAGAATTAAGACGAAAACGATTTGGGTCAATCCCTTATAACTGCACTTAGAACGTTAAATCTCGATAATTGAATTTTTCACGAGATTAGCACACTAGTAGACTATCGAATTTCATTTGGGGTAAATTTTTGGAATTAGGTTACGAATGAGAACTTAAGTGGAAGGTCGAACAAGTTGTTAAAAGACCAGATTAGCCTTTCTCCATTTCAAATCAACCATGCAGCCATGGAACCTCCTAGAACAAGCTTCATGTCCAGCCTGCCGGTTCCATTTTCCTACTCCACCATTCCACTATTCATAATGTCGGCTCACACTCCACTACCACACTCTTCTATATCATTTCCAATCCACCACAACATCAACCTTCCATTTCCTTTTTCTGCCGCAATCCGAGAGTGAAGTGAGAAAGAGAGAGAGCCGAGCTTGTCATTCTTTTCCTTTCTATCCGTAAGCTAGGAAGAGAAAAGAGAGACTTGCTGTTCTCATTCCTTCCATCCGTGAGCTGGTGAAGAGACCGAGAGCCAAACTTCCTCCATTCTAGTCGCAAGCTTGAGCAAGGGAGAGGGAGAGCTAGCGGGCTGCATTTCTGGACTGCCGAGAGGAGAGAAATATTTCCGCTGCTGGTCGCGTGTGTTGAGCTCCAAGCTGAGGTAATTTCTGGACTTAGACTAGTTGTCTATAGGTTGATGAAGTTATTTAGGGGCATGCATGTGAGGGTGGTGCGGTTGGATGATAAGTTAAGTCTCAAGAAATCTGATGGTGAAGGAATTGGAGTTGCCGAGTGTGTAAGCTGGAAATTTGCAGCTTTAGTTGGCCAATTTGTGATAACCTGAGTTTAAATGTGTTTTTAGCTAACCAGAAAACTGGATGATTAAGCTTTGCATGAGGTTAATCAACCTTGATTAAGCAAGAAAATTGAAGGAACATAAAATCTGCTTGCATGCAAGCTAACCGAGAAGGATCGAATGAATTTCTGGTTGGATGGTAACTTCTGATGTTGTCCGAACTTGGTTTTGGATCAAAACTGATAGATAGCTGTTTATTTGGTCTTGCATGTAGCTGATGAACCGTGAAAGAAAAAAAAAACAAGGGAGAAAAAAAATCTGAATTCCTAGGGTTATTTGCTGGAAATTTTTCCAGGTCGTCCGAATGAAGGAAATGGTGAAGTTTCTAGCTATTTTTATGAATTTTGGCCTTGAATTTCTATGTCAAACTGTAATACATATCATATTTTGGCTTGATCTGAACATACATGAAAGCTTTGAACATAAATTGAAGATATCATTGGAGGAAAATGTGTATTAGGCTGACTGTTACATTGCTGGAAATTGTATATGGTTGCTGGCCGAATTAGTTGAGGCTTTTGGTGAGATTATTTTTCTGGAATTGTGTGTTATTTTTTTTGGTTTAGGTTGGACAGATTATGAGCTATGTGTTTAGTGTTTCAAGCAAATAAAAGGTGGAGATTTGATGGAAGTCTTGAATTGTCATTTGCTGGAATTTTTCTTGGTTGTCGAAACAAGGGAGAATCTAAATTTCTGGAGTGTTTATGAGTAAGCTAGCCGTGGCTTTCCTTGTTGTTTTTGGTTGAATTTCGGGTTAATTGTTGTAAGGAATGATTGTTTGTCGTCAAGAGCTAATGATTGATGAAGCTCTTGGCCATTTGAGTAATTTTTGCAAGAGTTTAATTCGTGGTGGAACTGTTTAAACGGTTTGGCCGAAATGTACTTGGAAGGTCCCTGAATTGTGGTTTGGAATCGTTTGATATCTTGGACTTCCTTTGTTTAATTTTGATTGGAATTGAATCTGTTGAGATCTAGGGCTAATGATTGATGAAAACCTAGTGAAATTGATGTTTGGATTGTGATTTTACTACATTGGTGACTTGGAATACAATGTGCAAATGAGCTGGAACTGTGAAGTCCGTTTTGGTCTTTTGAATTCGAGTACTTTTAAATCAAGCTTTGTGGAAATATTTCGTCTTAATATCAAGTTATAGAAATTGAGTATAGTACGATAATGCTCAAATTTGAGTGTCGGGACTTTAAAAAAAAAAAAAAAACTTTGCTAACTAGTTAATTCTTTTCTTTACTTAAACTAGCTTTGTTACCTTTAAGAAATAATTGCATTAACTTCCGAACTTTAAAATTTTCGTAAAATTATTCCCTGGCTAGTTGTTTTAGAGGAAAATTGTTAAAAACACTAGATTTTAATAATTTTAAATGAAAGGCATAGAAAACTTATTCGGCCAGAAAACTTGTTTGAATTAGTTTGGTTTTAGTTGCACCTCTAGAAAGAAAAGCAGCTTTAAAGGAATCATACGAAATATTTTATCACTTTACTAACTTTAATTCTAAGAGATTTATTGATTTATTCCGAGAAAATAAACTAGTTTTATACCAGATAATCTTTTGTATATAAACCAAGAGTTTGTATAGTAAAACTTATAGTTTTAAAACTTGGTTTTCTAGGGTTTAGCGAGGACGTGGACTGCGATTTCCCAGCTTGACTTTTGAACTTCACTTTTGGTGAGTGTCCGTGCTTGTTCTATGACTAATGTGTTAAAGTGCTTTCTTGACTTGTTATGTGATAATTGGAAGTGGATTTCCTGATCCATCGAAGTGGGCAGTGTGTACTTTATCGCACTAGCCCTTTCGAGTGGTGAATTATTTGAAATGTTTTCTCGAATATCTTGCTCGCTCTAGTTAAGTACTGAGTGGGGGAATGTACCACACCTGAGGGTGGGAGGGCCTCTTATCCTAACTCCAGTACCAAAATTTTGCAATTGTTGACTGGAGCGTGGACTCGTCAACTAAACCACCAAGCAGGGGAACGTACCACACCTTAGGGTGGGAGGGCCTCTTATCCTGACTTGGTAAACACGTGTTGTGACGTCGTGGGGTGAATCCCTCGACTAGTCTATAAAAAGGTATACTCGAGTATTACCAAACTCTCTCGTGAGAAGAACGGGCTCGGTGGGAGTAAGTTGGTTGGAGCGTGTTAAGATAAAAAAAAACAACAAGAATCTACATGGACTTTAGATAGTGAAAGTTGACGGAGGGCGGTTAATTTTGATCAAGTGCGTGGAAAATGGCTCCTGAGAGCCCTGTATCCAACTCTATGCTGTTATTCGCTTTCTTACTTGTTGAATTTAGTTTGGAATTACTGTTCGCTACTTGTTTATATGATTGCATGCTTGGGGCACCACTGAGTTTTAGCTCACCCCACGTTATTTGTTTTCCTGAACAGGTTTTGGCATCCGAGAGACTTGAAGTCTACCTTTAACTTTTGTAAATGTGGTTATGAATTGGACTATGTATCTTTTGTTTTGGGTTGCCACTTGAAGCTGGAAAAGTGCAAACCCTAAACTTTGGCTTGTATGAACGAATTTGTATTTTCTGTTTTCACTTTGTGGTTTGTAACGTATATTTGTAGTTATGTGTTGATCTGGTTGGAGAGGTGTTTAAGAGTGAATGTCCAGATGTTCCATGGCAATGTTATCTCTGAAGTTAATGTGTTCTTAGTATTTTGGTCGTTCAAAGGTTTGGATTGCTCGGGTGACGAGTTCTGTTTAGGTTTAAGTTATACGAGGAAAGGGTTTAGTCGTTTTTTTTTTTTTGCGTGAGCCCTGGCGAGAGTTAGGCAGGCGACCCGCCAACCCTCTGGTTCGCCTTAGGGAGAAGTGGGGTCGTCACAATAATATTTTCTAAATTTGAAATTGTAGAAAATGGTAACTAAAATCAGAAGAAATTTCTCATATGAATTCGAATTGCAAACTATAGGTAGAAACTGCTTAATGATATTTTTCAATGTTGACTTGTATAAGTATCCAATATAACATCTCTACTTAATTGACTCGTTTGAACTATGGATAATAGTTGCTTCAATCAAATCAAGAAACATTATTTATCATTGTACAACATACAATTATGAGTAAATGAATTAATACAATGCAATCAAAATGGTGCTGTAACTAAAGCATTTAAACTCATCAAGTTCCATTACAAATTCTTTTAGATAGCATAAAAAAGCAAATTTTTTGTATTTGAAACTATATAAATAGTATAATACAAGAACGAGATCATAACATGGAAAGCAAATAGAGTGCAAATGACATCTTAGTACTATGTAGCATGATTAATTTTCTTTTTCAGTTTCAATGAAGAACAAAATTCTAAGTTAATAAATTTTACAATCATAAAATTCTCAATTAAAATAAACACAAGCTGAATTCCAAATCATATTACATGAAAAAATAACTACTTGAACCATAACTGTTGGAATGTAGTCAACAGATCCATGGAGTCAAGAACAATACGAGAAAGTTCATGAGAAATAACGTTATTTGACTTAAATAAAGAGATAATACCTTGGCCGAGGAGGAGAAGATGATCAAATTATTTTTCTGATTATTTTAGAAAGTGACAACATTATCTCAAATTGTACTTTGACCAGAGACAGAATCTCTGGGATCTACTAAGGAAAATAATACAATTAGTCAGTTTTTGGAATTAGAAGTATCAAAAGGCAAACTATATGGAGTTCTTGAATAAACCAATCATCAGAAAAAAAAAAACAACAATCAAAGAAGACAAACCCAAAGAACTCATCTCAATTTAAAGGAAAAGCTATGCATTCCACCAAATATTTAATATCCATAATAAAACCAAAGAGGTGAAACTGAAAAAGAAGAAAGGGTATCGGCTAAACATGGGGACATAAATATGATAATGATTGTTCAGATAATAATTAAGTTAATTAATTGTAATTAAAATCCAATCATGTAAACATCCAATTAATTCCTTACCGGACGAGAAAGGTTTCAGGAAATTGGAAGGCTTAGATGTTAGTATAATAAATGATTAAAATGACTTTTATATAATTCTATCAAAACACAAGTTTTATTCAGTTGTACTTGATACTCAACTTGACACCAAACATTGTAACATACCAAACCTGCCCCTAACCTTAAATGTCTGAAAGGTTATATAAGTAATTATAGTGAAATTAAAGCTATAATGACTTGTACTCAATGTTTCAATTACTCTTCAAACACTCTTACATTCCCAAAATAGCCTCACCCGTGCGGTTGAAATCTAGTTCTAAACTCGTTCTTATATAGTATAAGTATATATATACTAATAATTATTACATTTCCTTGCATTAATAATTATTAAAAAAATTTCAACCACCTCCACTCTCCAATGCTGCCATCTCCCCTCCTCCATCGCCCTTTCTTCTCCAACCTCCTCTCTCTTCCCTTTTCCTCTCTTTCCCTTTTCTCTCTCCTTCCTCCCCTCTCTCTTCTCTTCCCTTTCTCTTCCTCAGCAACCTCTTCTCTAATCATGGTCGCAACCAAAGGGAGAGAGAGGGGAGGGGGGCCGCCAGGCAACACCTTCCTCTCTTTTTTCCTTTGGTCGTGGTCATGATCCCAATTAGATAGGGAGGAAGGGGAGGAGGGGTTGCTAGGGAAGGGCAAGATAGGGGAGGAGAGGAGAAAGGAAGAAGGGAAGGAGGAGGAAAGAGAAAGGAGAGAGAGGAGAGAGGAGGAGGGAAGGGAAGGGGCAGTGATGGCGGTAGAGAAGGAGATATGGTAGTGGTGGGTAGTGGGTGGGAGAAAAAAGAGATAATAGATTATTTATTTACTTATTTGTGTTTTTGGAAATATTTTTAGAGTTTGTTATTGTAAATTTCAAAAATAAAAAGTAGTTGGGAGGAGCTAAATCCACACCATATGCTTTTAGGGTTTTTCTAATGGATGCCAATTAGACACTTATTAACACACCTAACTTATCATGTGTATGTATATATATATATATATATAATAATTATTACCTTTCCTTACTTTTATATACTTTTCCTATTTAATCTTATCTACCTTTTCTTGTATTTATTTACTTTCTCTAATTAATTTTATATTTTCAAAAATATGACACCTGAAATATATCTTAATGAGTGTTCAATAAACACCCTGTAGACAGACCCATACTTTTATTGGACGTTAATGCCTTAAGGTTTTATACATTAAAACAAAACATTTTATGGTATTTAGGTTATCTTTTTATATTATGATAATAGGGAACAACGATATCTTTTCTAAAGAAAAAAAATCCATATGCTAATCTTTATGTTTAGTTCTATATAGAAATTCCTTCCACTGTTTATTTTATTCCAGAATTTGTGCTTCTCTAAAGCTGCTTTATTTTTTCCCTCTTTCCTTATATGACCTACTACTTTTTTTTTGTTGAACTTCTTTTAACACTAATTTATAGATAATCAAGTGGAGGATATGAATATGGAGATGTCAATATGTTTGTATATTCTACCTTGAAAATCGCTTAGATTTTAATTTTATGGAATTGAAACATATAAGTGGTGCTTTTACATGTTTGTTCATAATTGAAAAATCTAGATTGCTAAATGAAATTTTAAATTAAAAATAATATTCACATGCACTTGTAAAATGTCTGAAAATATTCTCTTTTGCGATGTAAATTTTTTTTTTTCACTTTTTGCTCGATAAATATATGTTTCTTGAAACACTTAAAGAATCAAATCAACTTAAAAGTTAAGGGTATTCTTGTTCAATGATTATATGGGATGTGAATTTTAGTCTCTCCCAATTGGTTTCCATAATATACTTATACGAATTAATTCACAAATATAACATACCCAAAGCTCTATGTTTTTGTCTCAATTCAAAAGTTTAATTTTGGAATAGATTGTTTACCCAAAAAAGGGATTGATTTTTACTTTTTGATACACGTAAATATAATAACCATATTTTGGTATTTTGATGTTTCTTTCCTTCAATGTGACGGATACTTCCTAATATGTTTGATCAGGGCATATCGGACTAGGAACATGAAAGACATTTTGGTAAGTAAACATATTCCTAATTTCGGTGACCATCCGAACCAGATGGTAAGTTGTGAAAATCTGCTATTAATAGTGGAACTTGAAATTGACTATTCTTCCATTTTTAGTTATGTGGAATTTTATCGGGTGGGATTTTTGGTTCCTCTCCTGGAAGCCACTTAAAAGTAGGTTTTAGATTTGCATTTTCTATTGCTAATTTGCTAATTTTTTCTTGGTTTATGTCTATGGAAATTCCACTCTTCCCCCTAGAGGGTGTATTAAAGTTAAGTTGAGATCGAGTATCACTACATTCAAGTTTGAACTCAATGACTAGAAAAGTGTGGCCGAACTCGAATGAACATGAGAGTGGAAGCTCGAGCTCAACTCGATGAGGTTGGAATAGTACTTGAATTCGATTTCAGTTCATTCTCTGCTTGTATTGCTATGTTTTAAGTTGAGATTTTTTTTAGTAAATTTCACAAATAACATAGTTAAAAGAGTAATTTAGTAATACTTATAATTTAAATGTAACTACTTCAATAAACTCATCAAGCTTTTGAATATATGAATCCAATGCTTGAACTCTACTATTAACTAAACTCCTCAATCGAGCTCGAGTAGCTTGGTTATTTTGTACCCCCCGTCCACAAACCCCCCCTACATTCAAATTACAATATTGTCGGACTGTGAAAGGCATTCCTCAGTAATTAATAAAACTTCCTTTTTCCTTCTATGCTTCTACAAGCATTATGAGGAAAACAACACAGTCATCAAATTGTCAGAAGTTTTTTCCATTAGACTTCAAATTTTCTTGACTATTTCAAAAAAAAAAAGATAAATAGAGAGACATGTACTAGTAGAGAGCATAGGATACCCCTTCCCTTTATTTTATTATATATATATTTTGCAACTTGGGATTTGCGACTGCAAATTGAGGTTTAATTGGATGAGCAACTAAAGTAGCTTCTTCCTTTATCATGTTGACCAATGCTTGCCATCAATTGTGTTTATCTCAATCCGTAACTTTTGATGATTACAAAACAAATGCTAATATTCTCTGATTAGATCTTTTCAGAATAGGAGCAGAACAGGTTCAGAGGCTAACATATGCTGAAATAGCTGTCGGACGCACATAAAGACTGCATCGGCCGTCCGACAACCATTGAGTAACTTCAGACGCATGAAGAACCCACTCTCGGACGTCCGAAGATGATAAGCCAAGTTTTCTAAACTCATTGACCCCGATCGGACGTACAACACTTGAGTACCGGACGTCCGACAAACGTTGCGACACTTCGAACGCAAAACATTGGAGGCATCGGACGTCCGAACGAATTGAAGGAGAATTTCCAGTTTTGCATCATACATTCGAACGCATATTCTGGAGGTACCGGACGTCCTAAACATTTCAAGAAAACTTCTTGAACTCTCTACCTGCCTTCGGACGCAGAAAACTAGCCTACCGGACGTCCGACACCACCAACGGCTAGTTGACTCTTCAGCTGCCTTCTGTCCATTGGTAGCATTAATTGAAGAATTTTTTGGTCTCTTATAAATAGAACAAAGTCAACCACTTAAAAAGAACTTTGCACATTGAGACTACATCAGATCTTGAGTGATTCAAGTATGAGAATACTCTTTAAAGAAGATTTGTACTCTTAGTTGTGT